AAAAAAAAAAAAAAAAAAAAAAAGCTGTGTTCTCAAGCTGTTGCTGTGGTGTTATAGCTCACAGTAACCTCCAGGGGCTCAAGTGATTCTCTTACTTCAGTTTTTCTATTTTTAGTAGAGGTAGGGTCTTGATTTGCTCAGGCTGTCTCAAACTTGTGAACTCAAGCAATCCACTGCCTTGGCCTCCCAGAGTGCTAGGATTACAGGGGTGAGCCACTGTGCCCAGCCAGCGTTCATTCTTTAAGACTAAGTATTTTGGTCAATGGCATAGCAAGACAGATTTAGAGAGCAAAGAATAGATATATGATCTTTACAATAGATCAAAGAGTTCAAAATATTCAATGGAAAGAAAGAAAGATAAGTGCAATTTAAAAATTCATTTCTTAAGAGGAAGCCTTAGTATCAGGACTGAAATATCTAAAGACAAACTGTCTGGATTCAAATCCTGGCTCGGCCCCTTACTGACTAGATTCAAATCCTGGCTCTGCCCCTTACTGACTATATGACTTTGGGCAAGTTACCTGATTTCTCTGTGTCTCAGTTCTTTCCTCATCTGTAAAATGAAGATAATGATGGGACCTTTATATAAGGTTATTATAAGAACTAAATATTATAAGATAATATTTGTAAAGAGCTCTGAACAGTACCTGTCTGGTAACACTTGCTATATAAGTGCTTATTAAATAAACACATTAATAAGACTAAAGACTGTTTCTTCCTTTCACTTGGTGGTGCATAGTGAGGCAATCATCACAAGTGAAACAAGCACATAAAGTAGTTCTGTACCTCTGTGGTGAAGTAGCATCTCTGCTTCTCCTTTCTTTTTTTTTTTAATTAAATTTTTTTTTTAATTGAATGGTAACTATGTACATTAATGCAATTCTGGGGTACTGTGTGGTGTTTTCACATACAATTTGAAATATTTCCATCAGTGCTTCTCCTTTCTGTAGTGCCCTTCCCTTCCTCTTTCAAGCAGGAGGCTGTGCTTTCTGGTGCCTGTGACCTAAGGGAGGTGTGTGAGGCAGAAAGTCCTTGGAGGAGAAGGTGTTGAAGTGAAGCCTGAGCTCACTGAAGTGATAGGGGATGCTGGGTGTTCCAGGAGAGTGGAGGTGGGTGAGGCCTGTGGGTGTGAGAAGAGGGGGCAGAAGAGAAGAGTCTCCCTGAGAAGGGCAGGGAGCAGTAGCCCTATGAGTCTGGGAGCTGGAGGACCTGGGCAGGGCCCCATGTGGGTGGCACAACCTCAGGGGGATGAACGTGCATTGTGTGGAGGAAGGCAGCACCCATCATTGTATGGCCCATGTGGTCCAGAAGCAAGGTGCTCTAGGCTCCCCTTGATCGTGAGAGGTCATGTCAGGACCAGCACTGACTAACAGAAATAGAATAGGAGCCACACTTATAATTTAGAAATTTTCTAGCCTCTAGAATCTAGTAGTCACATTAGAAACTGTCAGAAGATACAGGTGAGTATAGGAGATGCCAAGAGCCAGATGACATCTGAGCAAGATGATCTGCAGCTGAGGGGTGGACCCTCGGGCCTTTCATCCACAGGAGTTCCTTGTGAAAGAGCCTGAGCCTTCAGCATGTAATCATTTGCTAATTACTCCCCTCATCTGTGTTGTGCGGTCTCAATAAAAGACTGGTGTGGTGGTTGCTCGGCTACCCGGAAAGTAAGGGCTAGCCCGTCTCCCACAAGCTTGTACTTCTAATCCACGTCATGCCTGGTTCCTTCTTGCGGGGATTGAGACCAGGGCCTTAGGAGCCCGACGGGTCGCAACAGGTGAGACTAATTTTAATAATATATTTTATTCCTGTCTGAAATAATTAACATTTTCACAAGTAATCAATATAAAGATATTACTGAGATAGTTTATGTTTTTATACAAAATCTATATAATCTAGTATGTATTTTATGCTTACATACATCTCAGTTCAGATTGGTGACCGCATGTGGCCAGGGGCTACCTTTAGGGCCCGGGTTAGAAGATCTACTTTTGCATTTCTGGTTCCACATAAGCTTCCTGGATTCTAAAATGACCCTGACAGGGAAAGGAGATTTCACGTTGTTCATGAACTGGTATCTCTGAATGTCTACCATGCGCTTGGTTCGTAGTTCCCATGGTGTGTGTCTTCAGGTGTCCTAGAGTCCTAGACTGCTATAGCAAACTCACAGGGAAGGACTTGAAGGGATATTTTACATTTTTGAGAGAAACATCTGTTGGACGTTATGTCAAGTACTGGTACACAGTTTCAACCTTAGATCTCACCAGTACATTTCTTTTTAGACGCCATCAGCTTTGCAAAGCTGGGCTTTTGGAAGCTCCTGTGACTAAAAAAGCAAGTATGTAGCAAAGTCAGTGTGGACAGGAATCAAGGGTGACAATATCCAATCTATGATAATTCCAAGATTTTAGGAGTTTGCTGTGCCCATGAGTTTCACATGTCCCATTGTAAGTAATAGTAGTTACGAATAAGATTGAAAAAAATTTTTTTTCAGTTTGTGGTTTTTGGGTTCTTTGGTTTGTTTTGGTGTTTCAACCCAGGAGTGTGCTTTATTTTTAAAATAGTTACTAAAGACATAGTACTTACTACATTGTTGGGACTTCACAAGTTAATAAAACAGAACTATGTGCTAGCTTCAGCAACATATATACTAAAAATTAGAATGACACAGAGAAGATAAACATGGCCCCTGCACAATGATGACGTGCAAATTTGTGAAGGGTTCCATATTTTTTCTATTTACCTGGATGGATTGAAGCACATTCTTCTTAGTAAAGTGTCACAAGAATGGAAATACAACAGAAAAACAACTGTTTGCCCACACAAGAGAAAAGCACAAGTATGTTAAACTGCTGGGGGTGTGTGTGTGTGGGGGCAGGGGCAGGTTAGGAAGTAGGGAAAGGTGAAAGGGGAGGAGAGGGGGGACTGGTAAGCTCTCAGCTAATGGGCACAATGTAAGGGTTTAAGCATACCCTCTGGATGGGGGCTCAACTGCAACTTGAACTTTACCTTGGAAACACAAACAACGTAACCTAATCATTGTACCCTTATATTAATCTGAATTAAAAAAAGAGCGATTAGGCATTCCTTTTGGCCCAGGGACACTGAAAAATCCACTGAAACACCAAGAGTGCCGAGAATATTTGAGAAGTGCCTTTCAAGTTGCTCATTTAAGTATTTGGGATACATCAGAGAACAAAACAAAGATGCTGCCTGTTGTGAGTTTACGTGTTGGGGTACAGTGGGGAGACAATAAACGACAAGGGTGACACAGAATGCTGGAATTGAGATTTCTTCTCATCCCAGTGGGATGGAGTTTGGGAATCAGAATTAGGTTGAACTAAAGAGAATAAAAAAAGGTGATTTTTTTTTCCCGGTGGTTTTAGAACTTTATTTGATGTATCCGACAATCACCAGTTGGTTCTCATCCATGTTGACTCTCTGTAGATTTTTGAAAGTGATAACAGGTACATAGGTAACCAAAGTGTAGAGCTTGTTTGGTGAATCTTCATTTTCATTACATTTCCTGGACAACTGCACGCGGATACAGTATGGGACATTCCTTATGTCTTTGGCCCAGACAGCTTTGTTGAGCCTGGTATCAATTCACACATCTGGAGTCCCCATCTCTTTCATATCAAATTTCCAGATCTCTGTGAGTGCCTGAGGGGCACACACTTCTTGGAGCCCACTCCTTGAATGTGCTTGTGAATGTTGATGGTGTATTCTCGAGTTACCACCTGGTCACCACCTCCACCCTTCTTTGAGGGAGCCATTCTGCCCACCCTAAGTTGGAAAGAAAGAGTGCAAGGGATTGTCAAGGTGATATTACATATCAGATGTTGTAGACCTTATTACATATATACCTATGTGTCATTATTATTATTTTTAAGACAGTGTCACTTTATCACCCTGGGTAGAGTGCCATGGTGTCACAGCTCACAGCAACCTCAAACTTTTGGGCTGAAGTGATCCTCTTGCCTCAGCCTCCTGAGCAGCTGGGACTACAGGCACCTGCCACAACACCTGGCTATTTTTAGAGGTGGGGTCTTGCTCTAGCTGAGGCTGGTCTGGAACTCCTGAGCTCAAGCGATCCACTCACCTTGGCCTCCCAGAGTGCTAGGATTACAGGTGTGAGCCACTGCACCTGGACTTATGTGTCATTATTTTAACAGAAGATTTATTTTAAGGATTGTTATAGCCTTAATGTGTGTGTCCCTCCAAAATTCATATGTTGAAACTTAATCCCCAAGGTGATGGTATTAGGGGGTGGGGCCTCTTGGGAGGTGATTAGGTCATGCGTGTGGAGCCCTTATGCATGGGATTAATACCCTTATAAAAAGGTCCCCAAAGAGGTCCCTTACCCCTTCTGCCATGTGAGGACACAGCAAGAAGGTGGCCATCGGTAAATCAACAAGTAGCCCTCACCAGATCCTGTATCCTTGATCTTAGACTTCCCAGCCTCCAGAATCATGAGAAATAAATTTCTGTTGTTTATAAGCCACTCAGGCTATGATATTTTTGTTATAGCAGCCCAAACCAACTAAGTCAAGGGTTTTCATGGAAGTCAGGAAAACAAACACCACCTTTGTGGAGACTACAGAAAGCTACTCAGCCCATCCTCAAGGTTTGAGCAGGAACACCAGAGTCATGTTGCCCCACGGAGGCTGGTCATTGATCAGGAACTGGAAGGTCATTTAGGACACTGACCAGCTCTTGTGGTTGGGTTATCTCCTCATCCCTTTGCAACAAGAAGAGGTTGGCGTCTACCTAGAGCCAAACCTGTTTCTTTCTGTATGTCTTTTGGGTTCTGTTCCCCATACCAACTTGCTCTCTCCCACGTCTGCCTCCTGGCTGCTGTTTTCTTACAGCTTTTGCTTTCTTTCTTCATGTTTCTTCACTTCTGCCTCTACTAAAGCCCATACCTAAGCCTTTTCACATATCTCCATTTTTAATTCCAGAGAGAAAAAAATCTAATGGGTCCACTTGGTAACTTTTCCCTGTAGGACAAGCTGTTATTGGCAACCACCTCGCAACCATTTGTTAGTCTGTGGACTGGCAGTTCTTGTGCCTCCCCTGGCCCAGCTGTCTGTGTGACCAGTGTGGCCAGTGTGTGAGGAACCATCTAAGAATTTTTTCTCAACTGAGCTGTGGCTTGAACATGGCACCCATGCTAAGGTTATACTCTCAGAAAGAAAAAAAAAAAAAAACAGAAACATTTTATCCCTTTTTTGGCATTATTTTAGAAAAAAATTACTAAAAGTATTAATCAAGATTAAAGTATAATATCACTTAAAATTGTTCAGAAAAAGAGAAATACTTAGGGGTAAATGTAACAGAACACAGACAGGATTTTTATGCTGAAAACCATAAGAAACTGATGAAAGAAATCAGTGAAGATCTGAATAAACAAAGATACATGTCATGTTCACGAAATGGAGGACTCAACATAATGAAGATGTCAATTCTTCCCAAATTAATGCAATTCCTGTCAAAATGCCAGCAAGATGTTTTATAGATTACACAATTATTCTAAAATTTATATGGAAAGGCAAAAGACACAAAAATAGAAAAAAACATTTTTAAGAAGAAGAATTGGAGAAATCAGTCTGCCCGATTTCAAGACTTATTGCATAGGGACAGTAATTAAGACTAGGTGGAGGAACAGACATTCAGATCAATGGAACAGGACAGAGAAGCCAGGCATAGGTCCACACCCATAGGCCTAAGTAAATTTTGACAAAGATGAGAAAGCAATTCAATGGAGGATAGATAATCTTTTCAATAAATAGTGCTAGATCAATTAGACATAACAGGGAAAATCAATTAGATATAACAGGGAAAAATAAAGTACCTTGGCCCATGGCTCCTAGTTTATATAAAAACAAACTCAAAATACATCATGGGCTTAAAATGTAAAACTATAAAACTTTTAGAAAAGAACATAGGAGAGTAATCTTCAGAATCTAAGGTTCAGCACAGAGTTCTTAGACTTGTTGCCAAAAGTATGACCGATAAAGTGAAAAATTAATAAATTGGACTTCATTGAAATTTCAAACTTGCAGGCAGTGCCTGTGGCTCAGTGAGTAGGGCGCTGGCCCCATATACCAAGGGTGGTGGGTTCAAACCCAGCCCTGGCCGAACTGCAACAAAAAATAGCCGGGTGTTGTGGTGAGCGCCTGAAGTCCCAGCTACTCAGGAGGCTGAGGCAAGAGAATCGCTTAAGAACTAGAGGTTGCTGTGAGCTGTGATGCCACAGCACTCTACTGAGGGTGACAAAATGAGACTCGGTCTCTAAATAATAATAATAATAACAAGAAAACTCATTAAACAATTTTTTTCAAACTTTCTCTGAAAAAGGCTGTGCTACAATAAAAGGAGAAGCTACACATGGGAAAAAATATTTGTAAACCACATATCCCACAGGATACCCAGATGTATAAAGATCTCTCAAAACCCAAAATTATTAGTAAGAACATCTAATTAAAGATGGGCAGAACATGAAGAAACATTTCACCAAAGAAGATAAACAGTTGGCAAATAAGCACATGAAAAGATGTTCAGCATCGTTCTCTGTTAGGAAATGCAAAGTAAGACCCCAATAAAATATTACTACACACTTACCAGAATGGCTAAAATGAAAAATACTGACAAAATCAAATTCCAGGGTGGTGCCTGTGGCTCAAAGGTGTAGGGCACCAGCCTCATATGCTGGAGGTGGCAGGTTCAAACCCAGCCCTGGCCAAAAACTGCAACCCCTCCCACCCCAAACCCCCCAAAAACCCCAAATCAAATTCTGATAAGGACACAGGGAATCCTGACCACTCATACATTGTTGGTGGGAATGTAAAATGGTACAACTACTCTGGGAAATTGGCCACTTCTTTTAAAACTAAACATTCGACTTCTATAAGGCCTAACAATTGCACTCCCAAGCCTTTATCCCTGAGAAATGAAGACTTGTGGCCAGGTCTAGTGGCTCCTATAATCTTAGCACTCTGGGAGGCCAAGGTGGGTGGATTGCCTGAGCTCAGGAGTTCAAGACCAGGTTGAGCAAGAGCAAGGCTCCACCTCTAAAAAACTAGCCAGGCATTGTGGTGGGTGCCTATAGTCCCACCTACTTGGGTGGCTGAGGCAAAGGAATCATTTGAGCCCAAGAATTTGAGGTTGCTGTGAGCTGTGATGCCATGGCACTCTACTCAAGGTGACATAGTAAGATTGTCTCAAAAAAAAAAAAAGAAAAGAAATGAAGACCTGTGTTCCTGCAAGAACCTGTACACAAATGTTTATAGTAGCTTTATTCATAATAGCCCCAATCTAGAAACCACCCAGATGTCTTTCAGTGGGCGACTAGTTAAACAAATTGTGGTACATTCATACCACAGAATACTAATTAGCAGCAGAAAAGGAACAAGCCACTGATATAGGCAATGATCTGGATGAGTCTCCAGATTATGCTGAGTGAAAAAAACCCCAAGCACCAAAGATTGCATACTATGTAATTCCATTTATGTAACATCCCTGAAATGATAAGAATGAACTTACATATATATGGAAAATAAATTAGTGGTTGCCAGGGGTCTGGGGTGGGAGTGGGAGGGAAAGGATGTGGCTGTCAGAGGGCAATGTGAGGGACCCTTGTGGTGATGGAAATGTTCAGTATCTTCCAGCGTCTCAGCGTCAGTTACCTCACTTCTCCTATTATACTATACAGTTTTGTAAGAAGGTACTGTTGGGGGAAACTGGTGAAGGGTATATGGCATCTGTCTGTGTTATTTCTTTGTCTTTTTTGGGGGGTTGACAGGGTTGCACTCTGAGGTTCAGCTTGGAGTGCAGTGGTGTGATCATAGCTCACTGCAGCCTCAAATTCATGGGCTCGAGTGATCCTCCTGCTTCAGCCTCCTGAGTAGCTGGGACTATAGGCACCTGCCACCAACCCTGGCTAATTTTTTTAAAAAAATTTCATAGAAACAGAGTCTCACTGTGTTGACTAGGCTGGTTTGGGATTCCTGGTCTCCAATGTTCCTCTTGCCTTGGCCTCCCAAAGTGATGGGATTATAAGTGTGAGCCTGTACCCAACCTCTCTATATTGTTTCTTAAAATTGTAAGCGAATCTATAATTATTTCAAAATAAAAATGTTTGGGTCAAAAAATAATTGCAAGGAACATCTGATGTACTTCTGCATAGAAGCCTCAGGCAGGTTAATAGGTTACTAGCAAGATTCCAGCCAGGATCCCTTAGACTTAGACAGGGGTGTCCATTGTTTTTTCTTTTCTGCCACACAGTGGAAGAGTAAGAGTTATCTGGGGCCACACTGTTTGTGGACAATTATGCAAACACTGATGAAAGCTGATGAGCAAAAAAAAAAAGGTCTGTGTATCTTTTTTGGGATATCTAATACCACTGATAAACAAAAGGGTCCTCAAGGAATCTACACGCAGCTTGTAGGTACCAGGTTGGACACCCCCTCCAGAGGCAAGTTTATTGATAGAACTATTTTTCCAGAAGGTCTTGGTATATGAAAAGTGCTAATAGTCCCTTAAAATAAATCCACTCCCGGGCGGCACCTGTGGCTCAAAGGAGTAGGGCACTGGCTCCATATGCAGGAGGTGGCGGATCCAAACCCAGCCCTGGCCAAAAAAACCCTGCAAAAATAAATAAATAAATAAATAAATCCACTCCCTTTATCATGGGTAAAATTAAATTTGATGCATATAAAAACATATGGAGAAAATATAAAACCAGATTGTATTACAGTTCTAACACCAGACATTAACAGGGTATTGTAAATACGTGAACTACATGTGCATAGAAAGAGTACATGCTTGTAAAATGTTTGGGGCCTATCACAGGCAACGTGTGTGTTGTAGGTCTCAGTCTGCAGTTCTGTCTTTGGGACAATAGCTAAGTCTTAGCTGTCATGATTGATTCCTTCAGGAGGGCTGAGTGACTGTTGAGTACCTGCTCTGTGCTGGGGGCTTTCCATTAACCGGGTTAATCTTTATCTCTATACTGAGAGGTGAGTAATACTCGCAGAGTAGACACTGAGTCACTGAATGCTAAAAATGTCTGTCCCAAGAGTTGACCTGAGATTCAAACTCAAGGCATCCTAGGCTTAAAATGAGTATGCAAGTGGCAGTCCAGGAAGTCAAACCCAGGTCTGTGTGGCTCCAAAGGCCAGCTCCCTGCTGCTACCTCTCCCTGATCCACCAGGGTAACCACTCCAAGTAGCTTGCCCTAGGTTGTGTGTTTGCCAGTCCCAGCTGTCTCATGCGAACACCGATTTGCTCCTAGGATCGAGCAAATCTTTCCCTGGTCTCGCGGTTGTTATCGGGGCCAGGGAGAGACAGAAAACAGGTGTGGGTGGTTGAAGGGGCCCCTCTCATTTACCCCCAGCAGATGGCTTTCTAGACGAATTTTTTTTCCCCTTTGAAGTTGTCCTAATTGCTCATTTAAATGAGGTTTTATCTTCCTGGGAGGGATGAGGGAGAAGAAAAGAAGAGACGGTATAGTGAGACAACTACTGAACTATTCCTTAATTTAGAGCCTCACCACGTGTACGCTCACCAAATTCCGTAGGTGAACCTCCCAGGCCCCCAGTTTGAATCCTGCCGAGGCTCAGGCAGACGTGAACCAGCAGTCAGAGCACATCAGAGAATCCCGAGGCCTGCAGCCACTGATCTCCCAGGAATTGTCTTTTGTTTGCTGGACTGTTGTGATGGTGCTTTTTTAGCCGTATTTATATGGTCTAGTATTGGCAAGAGATGAAGAGAGGATTAGAACATAGGAGGGAAGAAAGAAGCTGAATGAATGGTGGGGAGTGAGGCACCCGAAGAAACTGCCTTTATGGTCACATTCAGCCTGATATTCAGACCATTACTTGATTTTTTTGGGGGGTCAACAATATATGTATTTTCTTTTCAGCGTCTTTACATGATCCTTTCTAATCATCACATGCTATGTTTTATAGCCTCCTGGTCTCATTTCATGGAAATGATTCCCTATTTCAGTTCTCCGAGTGCCAGAAATCAACCCTGGATACCCATTGGAATCACCTGAGAAGTTTAAAAATACTGATATTTGGAAAATAATGGTTACCAAAGGCTAGGGAGGGAGGAAAAGGGGAGTCGTTTAACAGGCGTAAAGAAGTCCAAGAGATGTGCTTCATAGCATTGTGAAGATACTTAACACTACTGAACTGTACCATCAAAATAGTTACAATGGTAATTTTTTATGTTATGTGCCTTTTAGCCCAATACAAATAAATAAAAAATACTGATAGGCTTGGTGACTGTAGCTCAGTGGTTTGGTTACCGGCCACATATACCCGGCCTGGGCCTGCTAAACAACAATGACAACTGCAACAACAATAACAAAATAGCCATGTGTTGTGGCAGGTGCCTGTAGTCCCAGCTACTTGGGAGACTGAGGCAGGAGAATCGCTTAAACCCAAGAGTTTGAGGTTGCTGTGAGCTGTGACACCACTGCACTCTACTGAGGGCAACATAGTGAGATTGTCTCAAAAAACAAAAACAAAAAACACTGATACTTGGGCCTCATCTCAAGACATTCTGACTTAAATTGGGCACAGTTAAGTCCTGGGGATAAGTTTAGTCTGGGGAATAGTGGGCAACAAATTCATAAAAGCTCTGTGATACTGTGATATAATACAAAATATATGTTTGGTTTTCCTCCCCACTTCCTGGAACAGAGCTCTTAAAACCCTTATAATTTTCTGAGCAATAGGGGTGTTAGGTATATCTTTTGTTCTGACACAGAGTTCCTAAGTCCTTTGGAATTTTCTCAGTGATAGAAGCATCCTTTGTTCTAGTTAGGCAACTCTTCTAGTTAGGGTTCCTTGATAGCTTTAGGATGGGGGCAGGTCTCTAGAAACTTTGATCAGGAGTTTAGAACTTTCAGCTCCAGCCTCTATCCTTTGGGGAAGGGAAAGGAGCTGGAGAGTCAGTTAATAATCCATCATGCCTGTGTGATGACATTGCATAAAAATCCCTGAACTATGGACTTAGGAGAGCTTCCAGGTTGGTGAACACATTGCATGCTGGAATGGTGGTGCATGTCGACCCCTGCCCTCAGGACCCTTCTGGACCTCTTCATCTGGCTGTTCATCTGTTTCCTTTATTACATCCTTTATAATAAGCCAGTAAACATAAGTGAATGTGAGTTAGTGTTCCCATGAGTTCTGTTAGCCATCATAGCAAATGGGAGCCTTAATTTGTAGCCAACTTGGGAGAGAACTGTGGGTAAACTGGGGACTCACCACCTATGTGTGGCATCTGAAGTTTGAGGACAGTCTTGGGGGACTGAACTCATATCTGTGGAGTCTGCACGAACTCCTGGTAGTGTCATAATTGAATTGCAGTTGGTGCCCAGAGAATTGGAGAATTGGTTGATGTGGAAAAAATCCTGACATATTTTTGTGTGAGAAGTGTTGAATTTAGTAGAGAAAAACAGTATTTGTTTCCTGTTTAAGTAAGGTCCCAGGTGATTTTAGTAAGCAGCTGAGACTAAGCACTGTCCTGAGGATCTGAAATCACTACTTTTCAAGTCCTCTTTGTTCTGGTACCTCTGTTTTCTCAGGTACAAGTTCAGCTTTTTGTTGAGATTTCTCTCTCTCTCTCTCTCCTTTTTTTTTTTTTTTTTTTTGGTATTTAAAATCTATTTTAATGAAAACATTCTCATCATTTTAAACAATTTGCATTGTTTGATCTGAAGCTGTTCTGGCATCAGGACTTAACTTTTCTGCTCCACAGGTTTCAGGTGCCACTGTATTACTCATCCTCCAGTGCTCTTGAGACATGTGTTAACCATGTCTGCCTCTGTGGGAAGTTCTTGTGGCAGCTTCAGGGGCTTGATTCTTATCAAATGTTTGACCACTTTCAGTTTTGCATTCACTGAAGGGATATTCTTGTGAACTTGAGGGGTATGTGCTTTTTCTAATCCAAGCATCTTTCTTGTATCTTTTTCCCAGTATGGATGTCTTTTTGTACTTTTTATTCTAGTAACAATATGTAGTTTATGGGAGTTCTGTGGGTCCCCACCATACTTTCCATGATCTTCAGGTGAAGGCTGAAACACTTTATCTGGAATTCTTGACTTGGTGAATTTGTGACGAATCCAATCTGTGCAAACAAGAGACTCCACGCCTTTTGTCACAGTCTGTAGTCTGCCTAATGGCCTCTGAACTACTGTACACAAAATCCCTGCCAGAAGTGTGGTGATTATTCTCTTTAGAGGCCCTAGCTTAATGTCCAATACTTTTGGCCACTCACCAGCACCCGCCATGCTCAACCTGAATCTTGCCCGAGATTTTTCCCTTTTTGATGGTGTTGGCTTTTTCCAGAGTCTGAGTGAGCTGACCTTCTGCCACCTGGGCTACACCTTTGCCTATACTCTAGGCTTCAAGTTCCACATGGAGGTTTTGAGATGGGCACCTTGGCTTATCTTGTGATTTCCCATTTCTTCACTTCCTTGAGGAATGCTCCTCAGCATGTATATATATATATATACACACACACACACACACATATGTATATATATACACACATACATATATATTTTGAAACAAAGTCTCAGTATCTTGCTTTCATAGAGTGCTGTGGTGTCACAGCTCACAGCAACCTCAAACTCTTGGGCTTAAGCGATTCTCTTGCCTCAGCTTCCCAAGTAGTTGGGACTATAGGTGCCCACTGCAATGACTGGCTATTTTTTTGTTGCAGTTGTCATTGTTGTTTAGCAGGCCTGGGCCAGGTTCGAACCCGCCAGCCCAGATGTATGTGGCCAGCGCCCTAATCACTGAGCTACGGGCGCAGAGCCTCCTCAGTCTATATAGAGAGGGCTCTTCCTAATAGTCAGTAGTCAGGAGTGGATATGTTGTCCACTCAGTCACGTGCTCTCCCCCCACCCTTCCTTTCTTCCTTCTCTTTCTTTCTTTTTGTACCTTTTAAACTTCTCAGGGTCTTATGTAGGAGCCAGAGATTTCAACGTAAATTTAGAGCACATTCTTAATATCTGGAGATTTTGCTTTTTAGTTTTCTATACTTTTGTGTTACTTGAATGATTTTGCTACAAATGCATTATTATTATTATTATTTGAGACAGGGCCTCAAGTTGTCACCCTGGGTAGAGTGCTGTGACATCACAGCTCACAGCAACCTCTACGTCCTGGGGTAAGGGATTCTCCTGCCTCCACCTCCCAAGTAGCTGGGACTACAGGCGCCTGCCACAATGCCCGGATATTTTTTTTGGTTGCAGCCATCATTGTTATTTGGCAGGACTGGGCTGGATTCGAACCCGCCAGCTCAGGTGTATGTGGCTGACACCTTAGCCTCTTGAGCCATAGGCACTGAGCCCAAATGCATTATTTTTGTAATAATCTTTAAAAATATTTTTATGAAAAGAAATTGGATTAATAACAGCTACGTAATAATCTGGAAAAATGTTTATGATATAATGGTAAGGAAAGAGGTAGAAATATGTGCAGGGGGGTGACAACAATGTAAAACAAGACCATGACCAAAACTCCCCCCCCAAAAACCAAATTTATGCGTGGAAGACAGACTGGAATGAAATATAAGAACTAGTGTTTATACTTACTCCATGAGACCATGCATACTTTTTTGTTCTTTTTGTATTTCCATGTTTTATATGTAATTTTTAGAAGAGTATATTCTTCTTTTATGATGGGTGGGAAAATTGAGCCAGTCACGTTAAAGGAGCTTAGTCAATGGCAAAAGTTAGACATCACAAGAAATGGTTTGTGGGAGAAATCCATTCCGAGATGTATCCTGAGGAAGGTAAGCCTAGAATGTGGTTATTGGAAGAAAAATAACATGGTCAATTGTACTTTAATGCATCGGGCACGAAGCCATGCTTTAGTGGTTATTTGTTTACCTCTATTCCTCCGTTTCTCCAACAAGAGTGCCTTGTAACTGTTTGGGTATCCATCCGTCAACAACACATGTAGCATCTGGAGCTTTACCCTTTGCTCAGGAAAGCAGCACATGACCGAGGCCTATGTCAATCAGCATATCACATGCCTCTTGCATCTTGACTGGTTCAAAGGTGTACTAGTAAACTGAAGTTAGTTAAATTAAAGGCACCACAAAGAAGCTTTTTTCCTTCTCCATATTGCTATGATTTGGTGGTTTGTCCCCCCAAAACTAATGTCCTAGTTTGGTCCCCAATGTGGCAGTATTGGGAGGTGGTGCCTTTAAGAGGTGATTTGATTGTTAAAGGGGATCAATCCCTTTCCTGCAGGAGTGAATTCCTGTTCTTGCTGGACTGGATTAGTTACCAAGAGAGTGGGTTGTTACAAAGCAAGGCTGCTGCCCATGTTTGGTCTCTTTCACACCTCCTTCCTTGCCCTCCTGCTCTTCCACTATGTTATGACACAGTAGGTGGCCCTTAGGTACAGTTGCCTGATCTTGAACTTCTCAGCCTCCAGAACTATGAGCTAAATAAACTTCTTTCCTTTATAAATTACTCAGTCTTAAGTATTCTGTTACAGCAGCAGAAAATGGGCTAAAATACAGGTTGTACTTAAACCCTGCTGTGTGTGTGTGGGAGGCAGACAGGCTGAATTCCTCACCCACCTTCCAACTCAGCGTAAGGTGCCCAGTCAGGGGAATGTCTACATGACTCTCCCTGCATGGGGAAATCAGCAGTGCAGGCAGCTGAGACTATCAACTAGTAGCTTAGGCTAGAGAAGCTGAGATGTCTGAGGAGATGAGACTTGCTCTCTCTCCTCTCTCTTTCAGTTGCACTGTTATCTGGCCTCTTCAGATGTTCCATTACCCTATGTCCCTGTTTACCCTTTACCAACCTTCCTGGGGCCTGTAATCTCCCCTCTCTCTTTCTTAACCTTGACTGCTGACTACTGACTGCTGTGCATCCTTGCACATATACTCTGTTATATACCCAATGAAAAGACTCTGAGAAACAGGACAGGGGCTGCCTTGTTCACAGGCTGCTCCCCCCAGGCACATGTAACAGTGTATGCGCCCTTACAGGCTTCTGGTTTTATGCACTAAGTTTGGTGTAAGTTTCTATCTCTTACCTCAGGACTGTCTCCCTTGCTGGGCACTGTCACAGGTTGGGATCCACTAGATGCTCAACATACTTGACATTGAAACTGGAAGGCTACATACAGCAGCTGCAAACATCTTAGTTCCATGAGAATTAAGCAATACATGGAAGGGAGCAAATCATTTAAACCCCAATTTGGCCACAGTGAAGCCAGATCTCCCTTAGATTTTTTGAGTTATGTGACCCAACATGTTTCCTAAGCCAGGTTGAGTTAGATTTTTCTACAACCTGTGCTTATGAAGATTTGCTTTATTTATTTATTTATTTTTGAGATAGAGTCTCAAGCTGTCACTTGGGTAGAGTGCTGTGGTGTCACAGCGTACAGCAACCTCAAACTCTTGGGCTTAAGCGATTCTCTTGCCTCGGCTTTCCAAGTAGCTAGGACTACAGGTGCCCACCACAATGCCCGGCTATTTTGTTGTTGTTGTTGTTGCAGTTGTCATTGTTGTTTTAGCTGGCCCGGGCTGGATTTGAACCTGCCAGTCTCGGTGTATGTGGCCAGTGCCCTACCAACTGAGCTACGGATACTACCTGAAGATTTGCTTTAAAAGGAGGACTTGAGAGAGATAATTCTTTGCCTTCTATCCAGTACTTTCTTTTCTTTTCTTTTTTTCCTAAAGACAGTCTCACTTTGTCACCCTTGGTAGAGTACTGTGGTATCACAGCTCACAGCAACCTCCAAGTCCTGGGCCAAGCAATTCTCTTGCCTCAGCCTCCTAAGTAGCTGGGACCACAGACACCCACCACAATGCCCGGCTATTTTTTGTTGCAGTTTGGCCGGGGCCGGGTTTGAACCAGCAACCCCCGATATATGGGGCTGGCGCCCTACCCACTGAGACACAGCCGCCGCCCTATCCAGTACTGTCTTGACAGCAATGTTCTGATTCATGACTGCCATCCCTATTTGATGGGCAGACGTAGTCATGTGCTTCAAAATGACATTCTGGTCAACAGATGCCCACATTCAATGTTCAAAGCCATAACTGGTATAGTTGAATTAACATGTGCCATATTTGTTTCTGGTTTCTATTTGTTGCCCTAATTCTTTGCTCTTCTTTTTGTCTTCTTTATTGTCTTTTTGTGAAATTAATCAAGGATTTTATATGATTCCATTGTTCTCACTTTTCTTAGCATACCGATTATATTTCTTTTTGTTTGTTTTTGTTTTACTTTTTTCAGTGGTCACCTTAGAGTTTGTAATATACATTTACAACTAATCCAAGATCACTCTATACCACTGCATGGATATATACCTTATAATAAAAAAATAATATTAATTCCTCTCTCCCTTCCCTTGTATCATTGCTGTTATTCACTTAATTTATATATATACATATCATTATATATATAATATATAAATAAGCATACATAATAAAATATACTGGTCATTATTTTGAACAAACTTTTCTGTTACATCAATTATAAATAAGAAAAATAGGAGTTTTTATTCTACCTTCACTTATTCCTTCTTTGATGCTCTTCCTTTATGTAAATCTGAGTTTCTAACCTTTATCATTTTCTTTCTCTCTAAAAAACTTCTTTCAATATTTCTCATAAGGCAGGACTATAGGTAACAAATTCCTTCGATTTTTGTTTGTGTGAGAAAGTAATTCTCCTATACTTTTGAAGGATAATTTCACAGGGTACAGAATTCTAGGTTGGTAGTATTTTTTTTTTCTCAACAGCAACTATTTCACCCCACTCTCTTCTTGCTTGCATGGTTTCTGATAAGTCAGATATAATTCTTATCTTTGTCCTTCTATAGATAAGATGTCTCCCCCGGTGTCAACTTCTTTATCTTTGATTTTCTGTAGTTCAAAAGTGAGACGCCTAGGTATAGGGTTTTGTTTGGTTTTTGTGCTTTTTTTCTTTATCTTGCTTGGTGTTCTCTGGGCTTCTTAGAGCTGTGATTTGGTGTCTGACATTAATTTAGAGAAATTCTCAGTGATTGTTGTTTCAAATATTTCTTCTTTTTTCTTTCATTCTTCTCCTTTTGGCATTCCCATTACTTGTATATTATACTTTTTGTAGTTGTCCCACAGTCCTTGGATATTCTAGTTGTATTTTTCAGCCTTGTTCTCTTTCCTTTTCAGTTTTAGAGGTCTCTATTGCCATATCCTCATACTCAGAGAGTCTTTCTTCAGCCATAAGCCTATTGAAGGCATTCTTCATTTCTGTTACAGTGTTTTTGATCTCTA